GCCTAGTGGAAGAGTCCCCTACTCCTCAGCTACCCCCCAGCCTCTGCCTGCTGCTTCCAAGGCCTTCACTAGGCAGTCCTTCCTTTGACCTGCCCCTTGCTGTCTTCTAGCCCTCCTCTTTCTGCCCACTTCTTTGTCAGATGCTTTCTTCTTGGCACATTTGGCTTCTCTTTTACCCACCCCTTTTCCCGCCATTGCCACTCAAACAGCCTGGTTTTGCTTCAGTCAGGAAAATGTTTCTTTCTTTCTAAGATGTCTTTTGAACTAAACATTTTATAGATGGGACGTAGAGTTGCTGCAGAAGTGATTTTACATCTTATTATTTAAAATTATAAATTAACTCCATTAGCAGTTTTTAGAACCAGAGGTGTCTTACTGAGGGGCTGACATTTTTCAGAGGATAAGTTTTAAAATACATTTGAATGGTATTAGGACACAGTGTTCAAAGGTTTCCTCACACAGTTGTCTCTTTAAACTATAGAAAATTGATATGCATTTGAGGTACATTTGCTTCTTTATTTCACATCTATCGCTTTTCTATTTTATGTCATTCATCTGAAATATAAGAAAAAATAGACTTTGAATCTAAGCCTTTGGTTGTGGATCTGCCCATGGCTGCCACTTGGGAGCTTGTGTGACTCTCAGGAAGTCTGTTTTCTCAGCTGTTGAACAGGCTGAATAAGGGGCTCCCCCTCTCCCTCCTGTGTGGGATGTCAGGGTCTGGGACTGAGGGTGCTGGGCTGTTTCAGTCTTCCTGGGTGTAGAGGTGCCATGCCGGTGGATGGTGTGGGCTCCTAGTTGGCCCAGGGTTTTCCCAGCAATACCCTGCAGTCAGGGCTGACTCTGTTAACCTGACATTCCCAGCACTAGTGTCCCAGAGTGTGTGCAGCAAACTTGCTGCCTGCCGCAGGAGTGGCCCGAGTCCTGTGATTCCGCAGAAGGAGGACATGATCTTCTTCTGAAGGGTTTTGTTTATGCATCTCCTCGTGGCTTTTTAACTTTTTCCATGAAAAACCCTTTGTCCTTTTGTCTTCTGCCACTGGCCCTGGTTATGGACTGGGCGTTGATGTGAGTACAGCTTCCAAATTGGAAATTAATGAGGTGTTCCCTCCAGAGAGGCCTGCCTTCCACGCCGGGGCTGGCTGCTCCTGGTCCCCTCCGGGTGGATCTTTGCTTTCCCGCTGCAGCTGCCACAGGCATCCTTCCTTCCCAGAGGTGGTTTCAGGCCGCTTTTCCTAGCCTCATAATTATTTTAGTGACTGTCAGGTGTGACTCCAGGCCACCTCCTCAACCCTTTGTATGTTTAAAAAGAAGATCAGGGCCGATTTCCAGAGATGCAGCTGTGAGGGGAGGGCTGAAGCCAGGGGAAAGAGCTTCAGGAAACACCAACTCAGGCCCCAGCTTGGCAGCATCCAGGTGTGTTGTTGGGAAGGGACTTCTGACTTGACTGAGAAGGAAGCAAAAGAGCAGAGGTGCCCATTGGACAGGGAGCGGTACTTAGGTGAACTGCATGTGCTGCCAGGATGGCAGTAAACAAGCTGGGGGTGGGGCATCTGATTTGGGAAAGGGCCAGGTAATGAACTTTAAGAACTCCCCGAGATTACATGGAGCCCCTGGTCAGGGCTCAGCAATCAGAGGGTTCAGAGGGAGCGACAAAGGTATGCATGGAGTCAGTGTGCATAGGCTTGGGGTACCTCATGCAGCTTGTTGCCAAATTTCATGCACATGTTGTGGGGTGAATCTCATCAGGGCTCTCATTAAATTCTAAAGCAGTTTGTGGCCCCACAGCTTAGGTGAAAACAAATGCCCCTCGGGGTGCTGAGGTCACCTGCTCAGAGCATCCTCTAGGGAAAAAGAACACAGACCCCGGGAGGCCACACACCTTGTGACCTGGGCACAGGAAGGAATCCACGAGGCCACTTGTGACCTGTGAGAAAGAGAGGCGTGGCATGGGGTGGAAGCTGGATTCCCTGAGCGAGTGGAAGACAGGCTGTCTAACAAACACAATGTGGACACACGGGAGGAGGGACTGGATTTGGAAGGAAAGGGAGAAACGGAAGCAAGCCGACTCTCCAGGGGAAAACACTGAGACCACAAGAATGAAGAGGCCGTGGCCCTGTCATTCTAGAGGAGGTTGGAACAGCTCTCTTCAAAAAATGTGGTGTGTAGGGCATGCCTGGGCTGCCCTGGAAGGGGCTCCCTCCTGCACAGGGCACCCCCAGCTGTTGGACAGGACTGGATTGGCTCTGTGGGCACCCTTGCCTGCAGCACAGGAGCTCCCAAGAGCCGGCTTCAGGTCCTGCTTGCCACAGTGTAAGACTCAAATGTGCATTTGAGTTCCTCCTAGTTCTTGGAATAATCTGGAAAGCATAATTTCAGGATTGTAATTTTTTTTGAAGAAAAAATTAAATGCACAACTCTCTATAGCTCTTTGTGCTGAATGAATACAAGACATGAATGATTGTCGTCATTCTCATCCTCCATCTCATGGCTGCCATTTTTTGACAGTGTTGATTCTTCTTTTAAGGGAGGATGTGGGCACCAGAGGGCTTTCTGTAGCCTGTCAGATTAGCAGATGTGTCCATGAAGGCCTTGTCGGGTGGACAGTCCTGAGCTGGGCTCTACCCTAGAGGAGCACTTACATACAGACCTTCTGAGGGCTGTTCATGGGAGGCATCGTCTCTGAGGCTGTGAACAGAGTGGTTTGGCTGGTGAAGAGCAAGAGGGTGTTGAATGCTCAGACTTGAAAGTTCCGCTCCTGACCAGTGTTCACCCCTTCTTGCATGCCCTCACCCCCAGTCACTCAACTCTGCTACCTTCCCTTGCTTCAGAATCATGATTTCCACAGTCTGCATCTTGGAACTTTTCCACTTTCCCCTGGCTCTAGAGCCTTGAACTGTCTCCTTTATCCTTTCCTGCATAGACTTCGGCTCTCTGGTGTGAGCACTCCCTACTTCATTCTTTTTCCCCTGGGGCTCATCCCCCTCCTCCCTGCCTGCCTCCCCAGGCCTCTCTTCCCATCCTGGATGGATGGCCTCCATCACCTCCATTTAACCCCAGGTCCTGTTGTTCTTCTGTGTACTCAATCTTCCTTCCATACTAGTTTCTTCTCCCTACCCTGTAAACACAATGAGCGCACCCTCTGTCATGGTTCTCAACGGCTTTCCTTCTCGCCGGTCTTCTGGAAACCACCATCCACAGTAATTGCATTGCTTCTGCTTAGCCATATGCTCATCCCCCACCCAAAGCTTCCCAGACTTTTTCATATCATGACCCATACAAGAAGTGTCACTTTAAAAAAAAAATTTTATTAATCGTTAATGGACCTTTATTTTATTTATTAATTATACATGGTGCTGAGAATCGAACCCAGTGCCTTACACATGCTAGGCAAGCATTCTACCACTGAGCCACAGCTCCAGCCCTGAAGTGTCACTCTTTGAGTGGCATATGGACACATGCTTGAGGCTGAGGCTGATGGAGACAAGTTCTGGTTGCCCTGAAGGCAGAGGAGCCTGGCCCAGGGTGTCCGCAGTGTCCAGTCTTTCAGACATCCCGAGTGCCAGGTGCAGTTCTGCACACCTGGACTTCTCTTTCTTTTAATCCTCTTGACATTCAGATGGTACTGTGTGACACTGGTGAGTTAGAGCTAAACACTGAGGTGGCACTACCTGGGTTCTGTTCCCCTTTGCCACTCTGTAGTGACATGGTCTTGGACAAATTATTTTTTTTTTCCTCTGTGCCTTGGTTTCCTGACTGAAGAATGAGGTTCATAAACTTCCTACCTCATAAACTTCATACCTCCTCACTGTTGGGAGAATCAGTAGCTGCCACCGTGTGGAAAGTGGGTCATCAGTGCCTGTCTCGTAGGAAGTGCCATTTTAAATGGTCTGGTTGCATGTCAGTATCCTTTTTTCTAACAGTTCTCCCCCAGCCCCTTTTCCTACCACTAGACATACCTGGTCTTTTCCTTCTGGACCCTCTTATTTTTCTTCTGTTCTCATCCTCTGGCTTCCCTGTTCCCTACATGGGCAGGTATAGGGGAGCACAGCCCGACTCTTCCTTCCTTGAGCCCCTGGAGGGGTGGTGCCAGCCCTCCTGAACCAGACCAGCCACCGTCTCAGGCCCTGAGCAGCACCCCAGATTCCCTATAGATACCCTCATCTGGATCTCAATCTGCACCTCAGACTTAGAAGTCCCCCCAGAATTTTCATGTTTTATTTTATTTTCTTCTTAAAATCATAAAGGCTTATAGAAAATACAGAGAAATTGAAAGACTGAAATATACCTCAAAGTAATCTCTGCATTTCATCAAGCTTCACCACTGAACTGGCATAGCCCCTGGAGTCTGGGCTTTTTCTCCAGGGGACACTTGGCAGTGTCTAGAGACATTTCTGGTTGTTAGCTGGGGAGGGGGGATGTTACTGGGTGGAGGTCAGGGATCCTGCTCAACATTATTTAATAATGACAGGACAGTCCCTCACAGTAAGGGATTGTTGTCCAAAACCCTGTTCTTTCTCTACATAGACATGTGGAAATTGGTTTTCCCTTTGTCCACTCATCCTTCCTCCTCACCTGTGTCCTCTGCTTCTGTCCATGGCCCTACTTTCTCCCCTTTCCTTCCTCCTGAGCCATTACCAAGCCCAGACATCATCTGTCACATCTCCGGCAACTGTCCCTCCTCTTGCCCCAAGTAATGAATTGATGACCACTCTCCTAAAACTAATGAAGAAGATTCTCACAGGCTCTTCACTCTTCGAGGTGTGTTTGGGGACCTTCGTAGACTTTCACTGTCTATCGAATTCAGCCCAGGTCTGGTAGAGTCCCAGCTGCTTGAGGGCAGCAGCAACCATGTCTGATTCAACTGTGTAACACCATCCTGAGCACAAGGTCAAGCACTCCATAAATCTTTGTTGAGTTTGTGTGGTGAAGGCTTGAATGAAGAAAAACCTGGAAAAGCAACTCCTCCCAGCTTTCTCACAATGCGTCTGTCTCTGCAGATCCTCAAGGAGTGGTTTGGCCGGACCATCATCCGCTCCTGCACCAAACTGAGCTATGAGCATGCTCAGAGCATGATTGAAAGCCCATCTGAGAAGATCCCTGAGGAGGAGCTGCCCCCCATCTCCCCAGAACACAGCAGCGAGGAAGTGCACCAGGCGGTCCTGAACCTGCACAGAATCGCAAAACAGCTTCGCCAGCAGCGCTTTGTGGACGGTGCACTGCGTTTGGATCAGGTCAGTGTGTTTTGTTCAGTGCGACCGTAAAGTTTGACTCATTCCTGAAGCCAGTGGGATGAGGCAGCATGGCAGTCTTTGTCTCTCCTGGCTTTTCCCCAGGCATTCCACCACACTGTGCTGCTCTCCCACCCATCCTCCAGACTCCATAGGCATGAGGCCTGGTGACACAGTCACAGAAAAGGATGGTGTCTGTGCAGGTAGCTCTGCAAGCAAACCACTGCTGTTTTCTGTGGAGAGGCTGTGCCTAGGATTTGATCCTCACTTCAGGTTTTTAGTCTGAATCCCTTCTCATGAAGGCAAGAACTGAAGACACGCATGTTTAGGAAGTAGCTGGCCAGTGTATGATCGTGAGGGTCAAAAAACAGCATGTCATTTTTTTTAATATTATGTGGATTTTTTAGCTTAATTTTATTTTTTTTATCTTTATGTGGTGCTGAGGATCAAACCCAGTGCCTCACACATGCTAGGCAAGGGCTCTACCACTGAGCCCCAGCCCCAGTATATCTTCTTATTCCTCAAAGAGAGTTATTTGTTTAACATCTGAAGAAGTAGGGAAGAGAGGAGCCTGGAGAATGTTAGCTGTTGAAGCAAACAGTGGCTGTAGTCGCAGTGATTCTGACACTGTCAGCCCACTGGGACTTAGGCAGCTGTCACTTGGATCAGGTAAATTTCCACATTCCAGAGTTGATAACAGCTAGGACCCAGGAATTCTCTTTTCATTACAAGAGTGGAGCTTATGTTTTATATCATGGAATCTTTTTTCATTTGTATTTCTGACCCACACTTTCCTCCCCAGGTCATTGTGTGCTGTGGAATTGTCTCCATGTATCTGAAAAATGGAGTGGGTAGCAGCAAGATCACTGGGATTGTCTGAGAGATCTGCTTATCAGACCATTAGCATAGCTTACCCTGCAGAGACTTCTTTCCCCAGCCCTGCTTTAAGACCTTGCAGTGGACGTTCTGATTTCATCCTACCTTCTGCCACAAACCTGCATGACTGCTTCCTAGCAGGCATTGCAAATAGGTGCTGCCCCAACCTAGTAGTAAGGTCTCAGGACCTGGATGATCAGACCTGCCTGTGCTTGCAGTCAGAGCAGCTCCTTGAACTCTCCTGCCCTTCTGCATGCTCAGGGGAAATGATAGGCAGAATAGCAGGAGGAGGACATGAGCTGGAGGAAGAGGGACTAAGGCATAGGAGACTGCAGCAGGGCTCCTTGCTTCCTACAAATCCCCAAGGCACTCTAATTGCCACCCCCCCAGCACCCCCTGGATTCTTGCTTCCTGGATATCAGTCCTGCACTAGGCCCTTGGGCAACCTCCTGAATCTCCCTTTGCATATCTCTAGTAATGTCCCCTTTCTAGAAGCCTCTACCTCTGCTCACCCTGGGATCCCATTCACTGGGATCTTTCCCACCTTCCTTTCATCTTGCTCCACATTCCCTCCCTGAATGGACTCTTCTGCTCTCCTGGTTTTAACTCTCAGCTGCATGAATACTAATGATGCCCTGACCTTCCTCCTCAGCTCCAGTTCAGCCTTTCTACTGCCTCCTGGGTTTTGTTGTTGTTGTTGTTGTTGTTGTTGCTTTGTATTGTTTGGTTTTGGTTTTGGTTTTGGGTCTTTTGTTTTGTTTTGGTTTTTGTTTTTTTGGTGTGTGTGTGGGGGGCAAGTTTTGTTTGTGTTTTGTGTGGGTTGGTTGGTTTGTTTTCCAGTTCTGGGGATTGAACCAGGGCCTCATGCATGCTAGGCAAGTGCTTTATCACTGAGCCCTCCAGCCCTTTTCTACTTTGAGTCATGGTCTCATTAGTTGCCCAGCCAGCCTTGAACTTGCAAACCTCCTGCCTCAGCCTCCCAAGTTGCTGGAATTTGGTGCCACTACGCCTGGCTCCACTTGTCTTCTTAAAACTCACTGCCTGGATGCTCACAGCCATCTCACCAGCACTCCCCTTCCTCTGTGCACAGCAGTGCCTGGTGCTCATGGCTGCCCTCATGCTGTTTAGCACCTCTTCCTTCCATGATCAGGGGAATTGTGCATATGTCCCTGAACCTAGGTGATTCCAGCACTTGTCATGCATTGCTATAATTAAGTATAAATAACTATCTAGTTTACCTAAATATCAGGTCAAGTAATTGAATACAATCATAGAAAAGAAATGTGTTGTTTTTGTTAAAACTAAGTTAAATATTTTGGAAAGATTTGGATGAGTGTTTGAAAATTCTGTTTTTTCTGGGTGCAGTGGCACGTGCCTGTAATCACAGCTACTAGGAAACTTGAGGAGCAGGATCTCAAGTTCCAGGCCAGCCTGGGCAACTTAGCAAGACTCCCTGTTTCAAAATAAAATTAAATAAAAGGACTGGGGATGTAGCTCAGTGATAGAGCAGTTGCCAACTGTGCTCAGCCTGGGTTCCATCTCTAGTACTATCAAAAATAAATAAATAAATAAACATTCTGTAGTTGAGACAACTGTACAAGTGCAGGGGAAATACTAAAATTCAGGAATCGTTCTGTATTCAAATTGCTTTACAAATGGCTTAAACTCTAAGTAAAAGACAATAAATTGAGTGTAGTTCATTCAGAAAAGACTGGAAATCTAATTAGCATATACTTTTTAAAAAGGCTTACTTTTTCAACAATAGTAAATGAATGTGCACTTATATAAATTAAGCCAAAACACAAAATTATATATATATATGTGTGTGTGTGTGTGTGTGTGTGTGTGTATGTGTGTGTGTGTTTATGTATATGTATATATATAAAATCTGTTCTACATGTTTCCCTTCTTTACCTGACTTCTAGAATAACTCACCAAGTGCTACTCAGTCACACTAACTATGCGGGTTTCTGGTATAACAGAGACATTACCCCATCAGGTTGATGTAAAGTTCAATTGGATTAAGTGTGTGAAATACTCAACAAACTGGAAAAGACTGCCGGGTGACCTCAGTTCGCAGCAGTAGGAGAGGTGTGATGGTGAAGACAGGGAACCTTCACAGATTATTGATAAATTGTCGGCATGTCCAAGAATCCACATTTTATTGCTGAAAATGACTTTTGATATCTAAACCTCAATGGCCTTTTCAATTTATAAATTAGAAAGCTGAGACCCCCAAAGGCAAAACATCCAAATAGCTCTTTGTTCAGTTTCTCTCCATTTACACCATGCTGACTTAAGAAAAAAAAGTTTTCCTTTAAAGTAGGAGAAAAAAAACACTCTCAAAAGTCCTAATTTGGTTCCAGTTAATTAAGGTTTGAAAATAACGAATTTGCATCCTTGGAGTTTATTCCTTGGTTTTCCAGAAAACAAGTCTGGGGGACCCCAGCTTTAGAAGGAGGAGACATCAATCTCCCACAGCCAGGGACACTGGTGAGATCGATTATAAATCAGCTAAATGGCCCCATTCAGAAGTCACTGCATTTGTCCTCCTGTCCTTACTGCCTGCTTTTGCCCTCACAAAAATCCATTTTTCCTTGATGCTGTTTGAGTAGTCTACTGTTTGGAGTTGTTCTCTGAAGCTTTTTTGCCCCAGTTCACAATGTCCACGTTTTGGGTGGTGGCCTAAAAAATACATCCTTTTACAAAAGCTAGCTCAATTAGAGAGGAGACACCATCCATGTCACACATTAGGCCCATGGGTCCGAGATAAATCAGCCAAACCAGAAGTTTCACCTTTCTAAGAAGTCGGTTTGCCCTTGAGATGAATAAGGGCCGAGTGCATGTCTCTAATCTGGTGCCTGTTGTGGAGTCTGGCACAGAAACCATGATAACCTCAGAAAAGCAGAGCAGCGTGACCACTGGATGTTCCCCAGTCAAGGGGAACAGAGTGCAACTGCCTCAACCTTGTCTGAGCTGGTGAGCCTCAGCCTGGGGCCTCCTGTTCCTGACTCCACCATGCAATCAGATAATAGCAAACTTGCTGTGTCCTGTGATGGGAAATGCACTGGGCAGCAGTGCCTACCAGGTGGGATGCCCGCTCCAGATGTCTCTTTCCTGGAGCTCAGACCTGGTTCCATATAGGGTTTTGCACCATGAAATGACTCTCCTTTGCTTCACTACCCAAAAGCAAATTCAGGCCTCAGATGCAGTCTTGTGCTTTTCAGTTGAATGAGTTAAATGATGTCCTTTCCATGTTTTCCATCTCCACGTTTGCTGCCGTCATGATAACATAGGGACTTAACAAAGATGCTTATTCTAGGTTGTTTTATAACATGTATCTCCTATTTCTTAAAAGGAGGCTGCCATAAGGTTGCCCAGACTTTTTTTATATTTATAGTAAAAAAAATAAAATAAAAATCACAATGGTTTATAATCTCATCTGCATCTTGAGCTTTGGGAAAGAACAAAAACTTAGGAACAGTCTATAGTTTGGGAAACTCAAGCTTTCTGGGGCTTTCTCCCCAGCCTCTCTGTTCAGTCAGGTGACAGCACCTCCCAGAAGGCTGCTGAGGTGAGAACTTGTGTGGTTAGGCCTGGGGCCTGTGGGAGTCCTACACCCTACAGGGGTCATGGGGAGAGTTGAAGCAATTTCTGAATTCAGAGGGTGTTTGAAGTTGGGTGAGGTACCCTGTTGTTTCCAATTTCTGAGGCAAATTCCTCCAAACTGAAGGAGGCTCTAGCTTTCCTAAATTCTCAGCTGCATCTCATATAAATCCTACTTGAGACAATTTTGAAGCCCAGACTTCAGAAAGTTTCTTTGTAGACTTGATTGTAAAGCTGACCTTGTTAATGGAGATCACTTAATACTCTAGGACCCAAGCTGCTATGGAATGCTGTTGTGGATGACCTTGACCTAGCCTAGTCTTTAAATCAGGGGTTGGCAGACTTGTTAAAGGGCCAGAGAAAATGATTTGGGCTCACAGGCCATATGCTCTCTGTGTTGCTCCTCAGCCCTGCCATGTCCACGTGCTTTAAATGAATGAAGGTGGTTGTGATCCCATAAAACTTGAAGGACTTGAATTTCATACAGTTGTCACATGTATGAAATATTTTTCCTTTGATTA